GGGGACGGAGAGAGTGGTGCCCGAACCCATGTAGGACAAATTTGTCAGAGCACCAAACGCCGTCGTAGCGTCTCGGGACCGTGTCATGTCGACGTCTCTATTACACCGTGCCGCGCGTCGTGGCGGGAGAGGGGGACGGGACTGAGGGGGCCGGGGGGAGGGCGGGAGTAGGTGGGATCCCAGGTGAACTACGGACTACCGGCTCGTTAGGTGAGTAGGATATAGCTGCGCCTTGGACCGGAGCGTCCTCGTCGTCTGCCGCGGGAGTTTGTTGTCGCGCCGGTCGTCAGAGGGACATCCTTCGCGTTCAGCATGTCGTACGCGAGCGCGCGCGCGCTCTAGATCCGCGTGGGAGGAGCAGCTTGAGTGCAGCACCTGGGTATGGGTGGAAATAACACGCGCAAGCACTCACACACACACTCACACACACACACACACACACAAGCACACACGAGCGCCGCTCACTGAAACTGGTCCATAAAGCTACCGCCATATTTTTATGCTTTTATGAAACTTAACTACGCAGATAAGTGCACTCAGGGCGGCCACTGGCGAGACGCCAACAACACACGACACACGACCGCCCGCCACTACTGCCGGGCGTGCAGAGCTTTTTAACCACCCTCCCTCACCCACTTATTACTTTGTCTGCGCGCGCTGCTGCTCTCTTTGTAAACCACCTCGGGCGACTTGCGCGGAACATTTTACCCAAAAACTATTATGTCACACCCATACTCCGAACTTGTTATTATTTATTTTAGATGAAAATCCCGTCGTAACTAAATAGAGCATGATGGGTATACAAGCAACGTGTTCGGCTCAAGAAGGGGTGTGTCGACGCTTGTCGAGTCGAGCGCCCCGCGCCTCGTAAACTCGTGCGCTGAAGGCGATGACGGCCCGGCGTGGACCACACACTGGCCGCGCCGCCGCCGCCGCCCACCGGCACCGGCCGGGGCCGTGTGTATCTCTCCATCCCCAGCGGAGATTAAGCCACTACACAGAATGCGATCGCGGGCCGTGAGCACATAAAGTGTGCGAGGGAGCCTAATTCTGGTGGTCCTGCGGGGACCCGGCGGGGGGCCTCGCGGCCGCGTAAGGCAGACTTAGTAGGGCAGCGTCCTTATACGGCCCCGAGAGTCACCCACCCACGGCGTCAACGCCCGGCCGCATCGGTACCTCATGGTGAAGGGGGAGGGGTTGCTGGAGCACAGGCATTGCTGCAGGCTATCCCATCCATCGATATAACCGTCTCTAACAAACAAGCCGTCGTAAAAGCCCCTTTTGCGAAGTTGCAGAACCGTACTGTCTCGCACAGAACCGCGCCTGGCGGCCGTGGGGTAGGCAACCCACCCACACGCATGCGTGCAGTACATTAGAACTTCGAAAAGTGAGCGGGGTCATTCAAACAGCTTTGTAGTTTGTATTGCTTTTCGTTTCAATGTAGTGCGAGAGCTCGTCTGCCTGGCCCCGAGTTTTAAACGTATACACATGAACGAACCAGGATTATTTAAGTGTTGGCCCCAGCGCGTCGCACGCACGCACGCACGCAGTCTCTCACACGCCTAAATCCCGCTCATAACTCGGCGTTGTGTTAGCGGCTCTGACTTGGGTAGCGCCGCATCCCGCCCCACCCCGCCCCGTCCCACCAGACCAGAGGCCCCGCCAGCACCGCCACCCAGCACCGCGGGAGCGTGTCGTCTCAAAGTAAATCCACTTTTGTTTTGATTCCGCGCGCTGGGCGTTGTGTTTGATGAATCCCTGACGCGGCGCGACTAGAAGACGCCCACCGCCCCGCCCCGCCCCGTCCCGCCCCGCCTCGCCCAACACCGCCCTCTCACAGGGTCCCGCGGACTCTTCCGCCGCCGGTGACTCATTCACGTTCGCATTCGCGCGGTCCACCCGGGGGAGGACACGCCAAAGCGCCGGCCGGCGGCGTCACGCGCGCTCCTCCTCAGAAACTCAGAAAAAGAAACAACAAGATGAAGACCGAGTTTTTATACCTCGTCCTGTAAATAGGCTACGACTTTTGTTTCTGCGAAGTAGAGCCCCACTCGCGGCCGGCCCGCGGCCCGTTTGGGTCCGTGTGGGTCTCCGGAGACTGAGACTGCCCTCCTCTACGATGACGACTTCCTTTTTAGGCGCTCATCCTCTTATTCGCCAGCACGGAATGACGCCCGCGCCACGCCACGCCACCGGGCCTGGGCGCGCCCGGCCCGGCGGGGACCGGCGGGGACCTCACCTCGGGCGAGCGAGCGAACCTGATCCGCGCCGCGACAGTCTCACGTAAAGTAGATCCACACGCGCCCCGCCCACGGGCCTCGGTGTCGGCTGCGGGCGGAAACGACATGGCAGCGCAGGGCCGCCGCCACCGCCGTCCGCACCTCCTCCGACCAGCTCCTCGCCGAAGTGGCGCACGTTTCCACCTGGACGCGGCGGCGGACGCGCCAGGAAGGTTGTACTGTACGGTCCTATAAAACCACCAAAGAGATGCTGCGACGTCAATCGGACGCTGCTGCTGTGCTGGTTGCAGGCTGCTGGCTGCTGGCTGTTTCACACAGGACAACAACTGCGCCGTGATTGCAGCAGCAGATGTGTGCAGGGCCTGGCTTGGCCTGGCGTGGCCTGGCGCGGATAGACGCGGCGCGGAAGGGCCTGTCTGTGAACCGTATAGGTCTCTCGGTCACGCTGCGTGGCAGCAGGGGCAGAGCGAGGAGGGGGCGGGGTCGCCGACGACGACGGCACGCGGTGGTCTAGTCAAAGACAAACATTATCCGCTTCACGGCTCAGTCAGACAGCCGTCTCGGCAGACGACTCCATTCGACTCCATTTCTGTACAACTTTTGATTTCTGCCAGATGGTTTTTGAATGTCGCTCGCGGTTCACTTGTCCCTCGTATCATTTTACCCACGATAACGCTATTACTTTCGCTTTCCAGGCGCAGTGGGCCAGCACCCGCATCAGTTGAGGTGGCGCGCCCAGGAGCCCTCGGTGCGCCACGCGGCCGGCGGATACTACCGCGGTAGCGCTGGTGAGTGACGTGGCACTCTCAGGAGCAGCCCCTTACACACTTTGTTTCACTTTTGTCGTGTCCCCGACTTCCTTCAAAATATAAGAAGTGATGTCTGATTAACCCCGCCCATTTCAATAAAGTTAAATACTGCACCGCATGCAGGTGGGTGGGCGGATTGCCTATCCGGTCGCCGTTAAGCGGCCGCGCGTCTGCGTGCGGTACACTGTATAACCTACTCTGTAACTTACACGGGGATTATCGAATCGGTCACCTGCTGGTAACAGCAGAAGTAAAATGGCAAGATATTTTGTTTTTCCATTTTACTTCTTCACGTCCAGCTCTGAAATACCCTATTAAACAACAACTCTTTGGCCGTATCCAGGGTCGCACACCACGCCGAGGCCGGAGCCCGCCGCGGACGGCTACGCCAGGTTCTCCCAGGTGCGCCAGATGACGGCCCAGCAGCACGGCGAGGCGACGGCCAATAGCCGCGGCAGGTCCAGCCAGCGGGCGTACAGCAGGATGCTCTTCAAGTAAGCTACATCGCACGCGGCGCGGAGGCGAGCACACAAGGTTTGGCGTAAAGTTGGCTTCGGGATCGAATTAAAGTCGGGTAATGGTTAAATCTGATATCCCAGAGCCGGATTACAAGCAGAATAACACGCTTTTAAAAGTGGGGGAGACGGGGTTCTCATGGCTCCTGCAGAGTTTATGACGTGCCGTTACAGCGTGTCGTTGTCGCGGTCGTGCGAACGTCAAAAGTTTGCATCGACATCGCCAACGGACAGAATTAGATTTCCACAGAATTTGTTTGGGGATAGTTTTTCTTGTCGGAAAAGAGAATTTTGCGTGTCTAGTTTTCTTTTTCGCGCGTTCATCGTCGCGATGGGTGGGCGAGTAGTGTCGCGAGGAGGTCGCACCACAGCGGCGGCGCGGGATTAGACGTGGATCTCGGGGATGCACACACACACACTTCGCTGCTCCAAGCTCGAGATATTTTTTTCGTTTTTCGTTTTGCCCACCCGTTGACTTATACCCGCTGCGCCGTGTCGCGCGTTATGTTATGACAGCTGGGACTTCGCGCCCGCCACAGCCGCCGTCCCCACCCTGAGCCGCGACCCTTGGCGCCGGCCCGAGCACGAGCAGCCGCCGCCGCGGCCGGCCAGCGCCGCGCCCGCGCACCCGGAGCGGCCGCGCCCGCCCGCGCACCTCGAGCACGCGACCCGGCCGGCGCAGCCTGCGCACCAAGGCGCTGTGCGACCGCGCCCGGAGCCCGAGGAGCCCGGCCTGCACGGCGCGCACGCCCTGCTGCACGGCCGTCAGCAGCAGTGGCGCACGCAGACCCCGGCGCCCGCCGCCGGCACGAGCCAGCTGCACGCGCTGCACAACCGGCACCACGCGCTCGTCCAGCACCGCCGCCCGGACCCGGACCTGCGCCCGGAGGACAGGAGCACGAACCACGTGGGCGGCGCGGTACCGCGCCCGCACGTGCACGTGCACGTCCCGGACAACGCCAACGAGATCCACCAGCTGCACGTGGGCGGCGCGGTACCGCGCCCGCAATTGCACGTCCCGGACCGCTCCAACGAGATCCACCAGCTGCACCACGGTAAGCGCCGGACAGGCAGGCAGCCCAACGCACCCCTCCGCCCGGCCGGCGGCGCTACCCCGAGCGGAGGGTGGCATGGCAAGGAGTAGCGACGGCGCCCTTCGGCTGTTGCAGGGGAGCCCGACCGGCACCGCGGCAAGCAGAGGCGCCCGCACTTCCCCTACTGGCTCGGCGCCGACAACCAGACCCGCGGCGCGCTGGAGTCGGCCACGGCCTCGGCCCCACAGGGTGGACGGCGCGACGGCATAGACTTCGTGCACGGCCAGCCTGACGAGTGAGTACCCTCCTTCACCCCTCCCCTGCTGCGCCACCGTCGGCGCCTCTCCTCTCACCCGTCCACGTGTTCCAGGGCGCGCGCCGTGGGGCCGGACGGCCGCCCCCGGGGCCGCAAGTGGTGGAACAGGCAGCGCAAGCGGCTGGAGCGGCGGCGCCAACAGGAGGAGCGCCGTCGCCAGGGCCTGCCGCCGCTGCCGCCCCCGCCGCAACGCCGCCCCACCGTCTGGAAGGCCCAGTTCCACGACTACAGCCTGCCGGCGGCCACCACCACCACCACCACCACGCAAGTGCCGCACCGAGAGCCGGCCGCGCCGGGCGAGCAGCGCCCGGGCCTTAACGAGGGTTGGGTGAGGATCGTCAACCCGCCGCCGGAGATCGCCTCCCGCTTCAACGTGCCCCTGGGCTCCGCCCGCACGGCCGCGCCGCCCGTAGCGCCGCTGCACCGCTACGACATGGACAACGAGCTGGACGTGGTGTTCGGGGAGCCCCCCAAGGCCACCAGGCTCTACCAGCACGTGACCACACCCCGCAGCCTGCCGCTGACGCCCACCACGCCGCGCCCGCGTCACGAGAGCGCCACGTCCATCTACCACCGCATCCCGGGCAGGCTGTCCAATACGGAGTATAGGGTGCACGGTGCGCAGCGCAACCCTTACCGAGGCACCATCGTGGTGCACGAGGTGAGGCCAACCACAACCACATCCACAACCACCACAACAACCACCACAACAACCACCCCTGAACCTACCACAACGACTACTACTACATCCGCCCCTGAGCCAACCACAACCACCACGACCACTACCCAACAACCACACACCACCACCACCACTGAACCTTCGCGGTCGTTGGAGGACAACAACGTCGCCGCTTCTTCGGAAGAGACTGGACCGGGTCGCAGGCCGATAATAGACAACAATGTTGTGGCTGAGGGAAGCGAAGAAGTGGAAGAAGACAGAGTCGAGGAGGAGCTGGAGAGAGCCAGGCAGGAGCTGGAGAGGAGCAGGCTCGAACAGGAGAGGATGCGACAAGAGGCCATTGCTGGGGAGGAGGCGGAGAGAAAGGAGCAGGAGAGGATCAGGATAGAAGCTGCGTTAAAAGAGGAAGCTGAGAAGATTGAGCAAGAGAGGATCAGACTGGAGGCCATCGCCAAAAAAGAGGCAGAGAGAAGAGAACAAGAGAGGGTAAGGCTGGAGACCATCGCCAAGGAAGAGGCGGCCAGATTGGAACAGGAGAGGGTCAGGCTGGAGACCATTGCCAGGGAAGAGGCGGACAGAAGGGAACAAGAGAGGCTAAGAACGGAGACCATTGCCAAAGAAGAGGCGGCGAGATTGGAACAGGAAAGGGTCCGGCTGGAGATCATTGCCAAAGAAGAGGCGGACAGAAGGGAACAAGAGAGGATAAGGATGGAGACCGTCGCCAAGGAAGAAGCAGAGAGGATCGAGCAGGAGAGAGAAAGGCTAGAGAAGGCCGCTAGAGAACTGGCAGAGAGAGAGGAGCAGGAGAGGATAGAACAAGAGAGAATCAGACATGAAGAACATAGGAAGGAAGAGGAAGAGCAGGAGAGACAAGAAGTAGTAACCGAGGACCAATTGGCAAAGGAGGAGAATGAGAATGAGATGAAGAATAAGTTAAGAAAAGACGAAGAGGAACGTCAGGCTAGAGAGAAGCTACGGCAGGAAGAGGAAAGGATACGACTTGAGACCGAAGAGGAGTTAACGAAGATAGAAGATACGAGACGTCTTGATGACACGGAAGAAAATAGACTTCTCGAAGAAAGGAGACTGGCAGAGCGGAGAGAGCAGGAGCGACTTGAGGAGCTCCGTAGAGAGGAGGAGAGGCTAGAAGAAGAGCGAAGACTTGAAGAACGTCGGGAGGAAGAAAGAAGAGCTGCAGAGCGCCGTGAAGAGGAGAAACGCCTGGAAGAAAAGCGAAGAAAGGAAGAGATCGAACGTCTCCGACTCGAAGAAGAGCGAAAAGAAGAAGAACGTTTGCTGAAGGAGCGTGAGGAGGAAGAGAAGTTAGAGGCAGAGAGGAGGGTAGAAGAGAGGCGTCTAGAAGAAAAGAGACTTGAAGAGCGACGCCTAGAGATGAGGCGAGAGTTTGAACGACGCCTGGAAGAGCGCCGGCAGGCAGAGAAGCTGGAGGAAGAGAGGCGCGAAGAGGAGCGCAAAGAACAAGCGAGGAGAGCGGAAGAGAGGCGCTTAACCGAGCGCAGAGAGCAGGAGAGAAGGGAGCAGGAGCGACGAGAAGAAGAGCGCCGCGAGGAAGAACGTCGTGAAGAGGAGCGCCGCCGTGAAGAGCAGCGCCAGGAGGTGCTGCGCCTCGAGGCACGCCTGCAAGAAGAGCGCCTACAGGCCGAGCGTAGAGAGAAGGAGCGCCTCGAAGAGGAGCGTCTTGCTGCCGAGCGCGCTGAGGAGGATCTCCGCAGAAAGCAGCAACTTGCACTTCAGGAGCAAGAACGGGAACGACTGGAAAAGGAACGATTGGAGCGGCTGAGGCTGGAAAAACAGAGGGCCGAGAGCGAGCGGGTGGACGAAGAGGAGGAAGAAGAGGACGAAGAGGAGGACGACACGAAAGAAAGTGAACAGGTTGGTAGCGTTGAGGAAAGTGGGGAGGAGCGAGTGGCCGTAGGAAAGGGTAGAGAGCGAGAGAGAGACGAAGAGAACGAGGTAGAAAAAGAAAGTGAGTTAGAGGAAAAAGAAAATGTTGCCGTGGAAGAGCAAAGCAGGGAGGAAGAGGAAGAAAAAGAAGATGAAGAGACTGAAGATCAAATAGGAGAGGAACGCCAAGAAGTAGACAATGCAACTACGGAAAAGACTAAAGTTGAGGCGGATTCGGTAGAGAACCAGGATCACAAGTTGAAGAGCGCTGAAGAAACGGGTGCTACTGGCGAGGGTGGATCAACAGAGGACACCCAGGGGGGAAATGACAGTTCGGAGGAGGAGGATGAGGAGGAAGATCAAGTCAAAGTTAAAGAGGAAGAGAAAAGAAAGGAAGAAATTGATCCCCCAGTACAACATGTTGAAACTTTAAACGAGGGAAATGGGGAAGAAGTATCCGTTGAAAATGAGGCTGATAGTGAAGGTGGCGAACAAGCCAAGGCGCACGAAACAGTAAAAAGCCAAGAAACTAATGAAGACAAGTCAGACGAGGAGAGTTTCAGAAGTGAAGATGAAGACGAGCGAACAGGAGAACGGGAAACGCAGGTAGAGCATGAGGAAGGCGATGATGATGATGAGAGCGATGAGAAAGAGAACGAGGAAGAGCACAGTACTCCTCCAATCCCTTCCACCTCTTCACCCTCTTCGACCACGGAGCACGCGGAAAGTGAGAAGGGTGGCGCATCGTCAGAAGAATCTTCCAGGGAAAACGAGGTTCAAGAGGGCAAAGACGATCAGGAAGGAGTCGGTGGTCGGGATTCGGACGAAGACCTCAGCTGCAACGACGAGGCGCCAGATTTGGAGCACGCCCAGATCAGATATGTCCGGTAAGTAAGAGTGGGAGGTTAGCGTTGGCACCGCGTCGGCACGGCGTTGGCCCGGCGTCGGCCCGGCGTTGGCCCGGCTCAGAAATCCGCGGCGAGTACAGAGTTTGCCCTGTTCTTCTCCAGCGCTGGCGAGACTGCGGAGGCCCACTACGAGTGCTACCCGGGCTACGCGCTGAGGGGCGAGGCGCGCCTGGTGTGCTCCGGGGGACGCTGGGTGGGCAACGTTCCCAGCTGCCAGCCCGTGGACCCGTGCCTCGAGGACCGCGGCGGCTGCGACCAGGTTTGCACCAACGTGGACGGCGAGCCCGAGTGCTCCTGCAGGGAAGGATTCCGCATGGACGGCGATTTCTGTATTGGTAAGAGAGCGTTATGCCAGAGAGGTAGAGGAGTCAGCCCGGAGCTTTCACGCAACGTGTCCTACAGACGTGAACGAGTGCGAGAGCAACGGCGGCAAAGGGCCGTGCCAGGACGTCTGCGAGAACCTGGAGGGCAGCTACCGCTGCAGCTGCAGCGGCGTGGAGGGCAGCCGGCTGGCCTCGGACAACCGCACCTGCGAGGACGTGGACGAGTGCGCCGTCAACAACCACGGCTGCTCGCACACCTGCCTCAACACACAGGGCTCGGCCTTCTGCCTGTGCCCCGACGGGATGGTGCTGCACTCCGACTGGAAGACCTGTGTCGGTGAGTACTCGCAGTGGTGATTGGTCGATGATTGATGTATGACTGTCACCGACTTTCCGTTTATCTTCGAATTGGCTCTCAGCAGAGGAGAAGCAGACCAGCAAGGCGAAAGAGAGTAGCGAGCGCGAAGAGGAGGGTGAGCAGGAGGGTGACGAGGATGAGCGAGAGGAAGGAGGGGAGGAGGAGGAGGAAGAGGAGGAAGAAGGGAACAGCGATGCCGAAGGGGACGAGGCGGAGAGTGATGGTGAAGGAGGTGGGGGTGATGACTACGTGGACGACCAACCGATCAGCGCGGTCGGGCGGCTGCCTAGACCAGGTGAGCTGCATTTCGCTAGGTAATTTAAATTAGTCTGCTCAAAATCTCATTTTCGTTGTTTCATCCACAATAGATGTAACCGTTCCTTGGATAAAGTGTCCCCCGGACGTTATCACGGAACTTTTGCCGGGGAGCACAACTTCCAAAGTGACAATTGGTAAACCAAGACTGAGCCATGGCATAAGCTGGAAAAAGTAAGTCAGAGGTCACTCAGCGTCTCTGTCTCTCGCCTATATACGATTCGGGTGGCTATGGCTAATCATCGCTCTCTGTTGTGACAGTGACGTCGCCGCGCATCCCTCGTGGGGGAAGTCCCGGCGCACGGATCTGCCGGCCGGCAGTCACGCCGTGACGTTCAGCGTCAAGGACCCCGCCACTCGTAAGAAGGCGGCCTGCGTCGTCATGGTCCACGTCCAACGTAAGTCAAAGAGACACCCATGCCGCACCGAGTAAACTGCGATTCAATGTCCAACCGGCGTCATATGTAGGGATAACCTCAATTTTGTGGACGAAGTCATGTTGACATCCTAACATTTATCACTGGTCAAAATTGGCTAGTAATGCCTCGGTGAGGTGAGAGGGAACATTGTGGTGAACGTTGGATTCCAAACGTCACCTGCTTATGGATTTTCCAGAGGAAGGACGCCCGTTTTCCTCCGATTCATTCGACAAATTACAGAAGCTCGTCGACGCCTGCGATACTCGGGGTAGGCCACCCCGCAATACACGCATGCACTGAAGGCAAGATGTTGCCTACCTACCAGGCGCTATTAGAGCTTGCATAGCTGAACGGCAGCTCGGCGACCGATAGACGGCGCCTGCGATACCCCGTGTAGGCCACCCCGCAATACACGCATGCAATGCAGACAAGTTGTTGCCTACCTATCAGGCGCCATGACAGCTTGTAAAGCTGAACTAGGCAGTTTCGTAACGGCTTACAACAGACGTACTTTCTAGGTGTCCCGTTGCCTGACGCAACTCAAAGTCAGGGCGGGACGCCAGCTCCACGCAGCTGTTTCGCGGGTCTGCCTGGCTTGACCGTGCTAAAGCCTACCGGTGACTTTGTCCGCAGGCGCCGAGCCGCCGGTGATAGCGGACTGCCCGCCGGTCGTCCGCGCCAGGGTGAAGGGAAGGAAGCGGTCAGCAGCCGTGACCTGGCCGGAGCCAACGGTCGAGGACAACGTGGGCGTCGCCAGGATGCACCGATCAAGAGTAAGGAGTCGCGTGCGGGTGGCAAAACGGAAGTCCGTTTTTCCCGCGGTTTAAACCGCAACAAATTTGTTTCATTAATTTGAACTCTCCATGTACAGGAGCCGGGTTCGCGGTTCCCCATCGGCAAGACGTTGGTGACTTACGAGGCGACCGACGCGGTGGGTCAGTCGTCGACGTGCAGCTTCCTGGTGGACGTCCGCAGCAAAGCGTAGTGATAGGATATATTTAAGTGATTATTTTTTACGTTATTATTCGTATTAATGTTACCAGAACGTATAACTATAAGAAGCACACAATGGTGCGTTATTTTAAATTTTTTACGGTTCTTTAGAGTTTGAGATTTTTTCTATGAAAACGTGTAGAATCGGGGAAAATGTTAATGTCCATCAGGAGACAGATGTAGTATGTGTCAGAGGGTGTGTGCATGGTGTGTGGTGTGTCGCCGCGCGTGGTGTGTCCCGCCCACCCAGAGGCGGCGCACTCTCAGGCGGGAACTAAATGATGGCAAACGGCCTGGAAGCTGATCTGAACACGAAAGAAGTGACATGAAAAAAATTAGTGCCCAGTCCCAGTCAAGGGACATAATTTTTCAGCGGGCCCTGTGTGTTCGCTGTCTGCTCCGTTTTCCTGCGGTGCACCTGCAAAGGAGAAAGGGCGCAAAGAGGCGTGTGTGATTGGTTCAGGTTGTAATGCAAAACGATGCTGTTTTGGTGCTGTGTAAAAGTTTTTATTTTGTCATATTCAGAAAGTTTTAGCGTCTGAATATATTTAACCTACCAGGAGTTTTAGAGACAAATATGTTAGATAAATGAACGGCAGTCTACGGCTTGGTCGAAATGAATCGAACGTTTCGTTGCATGCTTTTGGTTTGCTGAGTAAGTTTCTCTTGCATTGAAGTGAATATATTTTGAGTTGCTTTGTACACATCCAGTTTTAGGGAACGGCAGACGCACGTTGCACGTGTTATAAAACGGGTATAGAAAATACTGACGAGAACAAAGTAACAGGCGTGGGCATAAGTACAGTTTATTATTTATTTATTTTGTACACATCGAGCTCGAGCTTGAAATAGACCTGAAGCGGAATATGCCGTGACTTCAAGGTTGAAGTCCCCTCGACTTACATATACTTGAAACAGTAGTAATTATATATAAGAACGAAACTACTGTCTCAGGCTGCAACACCACTAGACCTGCGCTTTAATTTCAATTTTCACGTTACGTACTTCAAAGCTTTTCCTACTTTCATAATAGATGTATAGTGCTGTAGTATGCCTTCGATGCATGACTCGTGCATACGGGTATAAACCCCTGGGTAGTATCGGTGCCGTTAACTCGTGCCAAATTCAAGACGATCCAAGAACACCCTTTTCTCCGACAATAATGATGGGAGTCTTTTAAATGCCATACACCCGCGTTTTATGCCAGACACCCGAGCCCCGAGACAACTCACGCTCAAAACATCAGTGGAACCTAAATGTTACTTGCCCTATAACCGACAATGGCCGCACAAAGTAACATTTTTTTTCATATGGCAGTTAGGGGTACATGTTGCCTGAATACTGTGGTTCCTTTGTTTGATGTGAACACCCGAATGAGTACCAGCGTGTAACTGGATTAACTATCCCGGCAAAAGTAAATAGTTTTTAAAGATTTTCATTCATTTAAATCTTGATTTGAAACTTACTTAATTTTAAGAGAAGATAATCAATCAAGAGACTGTACTTGATCAGCATAACCAACCTTTGAATATCATTGACTTTCTCAATCAACATGTTCGCAACTGACTAGATATTAGATATTAATACAATCACCATAGGAATAAGCCCTCGCCTGAATCAAGCCTGAATCCTATGTAAATAAACATTTAAAAGAAGTTAACAAAATTATTTACATCAGAAAGATTGTTTTAGTAAGACTAATAAGAATACCTCCAAAATCAGGCAGAAATGCTTGATAATTATTTGGTAGGCATCTCACAATATTGCCGACAGAAGATGTACACTATACACACCGAAAGAAAATAACAGACAACTAAGACAAAGTACGATACTCTATAGAAAAATAGAAACAGGTATAACGATAACGAATGGAAACAGATGATTATTATTTCCCCTCTTCTCGCACAAGTTCAATCTGAGTATTGCCCTAAAAGTCGTAACGGAGATAAAATTTCACAAACAAAACGAATTTTGTTGAACATCAGCAAAATTGTTTTGCTGTTTGGGCAAAAAAGGGATTGAACGGTTGTCCCATCAAAAATTCGGAAGTAATAATTAAAAAAACAAAAAACATTTGGCCAAGATGGGCCATAATTGATTAACGTCTTCGCCACTTCGATATTGAAAGTAGTCGTCCCCAATGTTGTGATGGCAAAACGTCCCACTAATACATTTTTGTGGAGTAGGCTGCATCTACACCTGCCTACTAGGCAACACCTCAGAGCGGCTGCGTGAGTGTTGCCTAGTCGGCAGGCGTAGATGCGTCCTGGTCTAAATAAGTGTATTTGGGGGAATTTTTCCCTAACTTTTATCGCAACACTGGTCGTCCCTTCCCCATTTCTAATCTTTACTGTAATAGCTTTGGAATGGTATCCCTACATGAAGCATCCAAGATAAACACGTCAGTCATTCACATGATTCTTTTCATTCGCTTATCTATGACACACATACACTTGCATGCAACTACTCACTTGCGTACTTATATACAGACACGCACTCATGTTCATATTAATTGCCATAAGCGAACCCAGGCCCAGGCCCACACCTACTACACGGACGCTCACTTAAGGATGAATACATCGTCGGGTCAGTCTACGTAGAAATCAGCCCCAAATCTAGTTAAGAGACTGATCCACATTAAAATATTGCAATGTAATCAAGTGCATGGTTACATCCCTAAATTTGTTCCTCTTTCTGACAGGAGGAAAGAGGGCTATGCACACACACACAAATTTACAATATGTACAACATGAAGGCAAGCGCGGATATATAAGCAATAAAAGTATTCTATTGTTGTACTGCTTCCTTTGCACAAAACAACTCCTCTTCCCAAAGAGTTGGCTGTTTTGGAGACAATTTTTCCACAGGATGACGTATAGAACAATTTGATTAAGAGCGGGAATTTGATAAGTTCTGACAGGTTCTCAGAATAAGAGCGTATGTAATAATTCTTGGTAATTGTTCTACGTGTTAGCACCAAAACTGCCCTCTGGATATTTACAGTGCACTATCATTAGAATCCATTGCTGAAATGAAGGCGTTCTCTATGAGTCACATATTAACAGAGGTTGACACAATTAAAGACTCACTGTCGTATAATATCTTTAGCTAAATATGATGCTCATATAGTCTATCGGGGAAAATTATTTAAAATATTAACAAAGTGTACCTTTTTCTTGGATTAATGTGACAGCATCAGCATGTTCATTTATCTCATATCATTTATATGAGTAACTCTCACTGTAAAAATTGGTCAAATGTGAGATAAATATGTGTTTAAGCTATGCTGTGTGCGTCCATTCTTATAATTCGTCGTGTGGAGTGCCTCTATATGTCCGTCAACTCTGCACATGTCTAATATCTTTGCCTCATATGCACAATGCTTATACAACTATCAATACATTTCAAGCTTCGGACAGGTTTCAATGAAGCTATTGTAGGTTGGCCCAACTTATGCTGTCGTTTCACAGATCTTTTAAGGTACTGTACGAATACCTCGTACCGCACGTGCGTAGATACAAATTTCGTGCATGAGAAGATAAACGTGGTGCTGTGCAGTGGGCCAAAGAGAGATTCTTTCATAACTTTCCACCATTCCTATTTGGCAAACTCCTGCCACCGCCTAGCCATGATAAGCATAATATACTTAGATAACAGCACTGACTATACTTGCTAATTAACTTTCATCTACGCGTTGGACTCCTTGAGCCCCTCCAGCTTCTCGAGCTGGTGCGGTTCCAGGTCCTCCGGCACTTCCGCCTTGACGCCGGCCCCGGATGGCAGGGGCGGCGGGTCGTCGGCGTCCTCTTCGGGCGGCGGCGGCGGCACCTCGTCCGGAGACTCGGGCTGCTGCTTCCTGGCGCCGGAGGGCGCCTGGCTCTGCGAGTTGTCGGTGGTGAAGGACTCCTCGCTACCGGTGCTGCTGCTGGCCGGCACGGCCGTCTGCGGCTCCTCCTCTTCGGCGGCGTCCTGGTCGCCGTCGCCCTCCTCCTCCGGGGGCGGCGGGAAGCTGCTGCCGGCCTCCTCCACCATCGGCGTGGCACAAGTGATGACGATGGAGGCGACGCACAGGCCGGGGTCATCGCCATCGGCCCCCTGTCCCTCGTCCGAGACGGGCTCGCCATCCTGCAGCACATCAAGGTTTGCATCAGCGGGGGAAGTAAGAGGAACATGACGAGCGTGCAAGAGTAGTGTGTCATAATTTTGCCTAGTTAGAAACGGAGTTGAGTGAGTCAAATTCGATAAAGTTTAGCAGCAGCTACATCATACCTCTCCCTCCACAGCGATCGTCACAATCGGCGGCACAATGATTGGTGGTCCTGATTTGGCAGCTTGCGAGAAATAGACACACACACTTAGACAATACACAATAGGCCACTTATTGCAACCATCAGAAAGTCAGAGCGGGGTACGCTAACACTCGCGCGTTCGAAAATATAAAGCTCATACGGGGAGGCACCTTTAACAATTATTTGTAACTAAAAGACGAATATATTTCTTTTCTATTGCGTTGGTGTAAAATGGTCATGCACATGCATTCGCAGCTTTGCAACTAGATTTGTTGTTTCAATTTCTGCAGTCCGCTACAAATATGCCCTGCACACAATTTCAAAATTTATGAGTTTTCGTGAGGTAAATAGCTAGATAACTATAAACTTAGCCACATGCATTTCACGGCATGGCATACCGAACTAAGGCTCATACTGACTTTATTTTAAACTCTATTCGGAAGAGAATGAAAATAGAACCATTTTGTCAACTATTTATATTTGAAAAAAGAACGATTTAACCTCTATGTGACGTTTAACGTGTCTAAAATGTAATTTTTAGTGACCAAGTTCATCTATCTTACTTGGCAATATAAATTAAATATAGCGACAAAAACAAAGGCAAGGCCGTCACTTGCATTCGCTTTGAAAATACAAGGCAGTCGGTCTAGGCGCGGTTTTATGGGGGAGGGGGCGAAGGGCCCCCCC